ATCCATGATCTTATGCCTCATATCATCTGCTGTGCTTTGTAATGGAAGGGTTGGCAGTGACATTCCAGCTTCAGGTGTCTGCTGCACATCCAGTTGTTCTTCCAGGTCTGCTTGAGTCCGGGTTGTAATGTGGGGTTGGTCTATCTCAAGTTGTGAGATCAGCTTCCTCTTCACTATGTTGAAGTGCTGGGTAACTAGTTGTTTCTCAGTGTGGATGTAGGCCTTCTGTCTATCCATAGTTTCCTCATACGTTTCATATATCCCCTCTCATTAGGTCTGCTGTTGTAGTAGCATTCCATCAATTCCAAGTTCTCTTGTCTCTTCCATGTATGGCTTGTTCCAGTAGCCCACTTAACATCAGATTGTCCTGGTTCCCCAACATCTGACGTGGACCTTGTTAATCCGGGTGACGTCTGAGCTGGCATGACTCTCTTAGTTCGTGTCACTCTCATATTTGAGGTAGGCAGGTGAAGCATTAGGGGGTCTTTGCCCAAGGACCCCTACTGGTACGGTAGGTACCAGCTGGGATTTGAACCCCGGTCTCCTGCATCAAAGGTGGTGTTCTAACCACTACGCTATCCAGCCGCTACAATACACAAACACACACACACACAAATAATATGCTGCTTTAATTTTTTTTTGTGATCCACCATTTGCATATAGTAATTTATTAAAACTATAGTCCTTTTAAAGCTAATTAAAGTATTTTTACTGCTAGTTAAAGAAAGAGGGACATACACCTTGACTTATGAATTGTAACAAATATATGGAATCAGTCTACACAGTGGTCACAGTCCTGGCTTCAACTGATGAGCAGAGCACCACTCTGTAAAGAAGGCACATGAGAAGCCTGGGGGCCACAGGGAGGCATGCAGGGAGCTACAAAGTACAGTATCTGCATAAACTTTGATATCAGGCCAGGACCTAATAATCTAGAGGCCCTGAAAATGGGGCCTGGAATCCACGAGAAGCAATTACAATACAGCAATGTCACAAACAAGGCTTCCTACTTGTTAGGAAGTATCAACACTTTCCTACACAGAAACACATCAGAAATAAAGTGTGAAGTTCAATAAATGAGGGCTGGCCTTTTGAATATTTACACCTATTCTCAAAGAGACAGTACTTGAGATAAGTAATACACCTCAGATGAGGATATAACTCTTAAACCTCAGAGCAAGCTGCTTAGTTGAATTCTGTCCAAGTTCCTGCTGTTCAGGACCCTCATTACAGATACCTAAAGGTACCACCTTGTGGATTTCTGCAAGATAGAACAGGACCAAACCAAGGAACAATTTATACACTGCAGTGCATACTCATACACTCACACACAGAGTACATCTTTAACTGCTCCCTTAGAATAGAAATGCCCATTCATTCATTCAGGCTGCTACATACTGCTCTATAAAATTGTTGTATGCCGCCCAGAGTCACCTTGTGTGAGATGGGCGGTTATATAAATATAATAGCTAGATAGATAAATAAATTAGGTCAGCAAACCCAGAATGGTTCACAATATAGACCAAATAAAAAGAGTAAAAAAAATCAAATATTATATTACAAAAAACAATTTCTAAAGGCAGCACAGGTTCACCATCTGTGCTGAGAGCATGCCAAAGTAGGATTGGTTTTACTGCATTGCAAAAAGCAAGCATGACTGCAGCATCATGTAATTCAGGGGCAAGGTTTCCATAGTGTGGGCCCCCGCCAAGAAGACACATCTCTGGGCCTCCACTCATTTCTTCTCATGAGGTGAACTTGAGGTAACCTGATCAAGCTTAGAAACAGAAGAATCCTTTTCCACTATCACATTCTATGCTACGTTCAAAGCATTTTACAATTTTTTTTCCTTCTAAAATTATATTCATTGAACTAATAAACTAGCAATCATTTTCCTTCCTTATTTACTTAAAGAAAGATGCATTTTCTAAGTGGAAATATAAAAATGGCTCCTTCGAATTTTTGAATACCTATTGTGCTAAGTACAGGAATAGGAAAAGGAAGGACAAGTGAGGAGTGTAAATATATTACTTTTGAAACATGAGAACAAAACCAGAACCTGAACTTACTGAAAATTTTCTACTGCCATATCGCCTTTCAAATATCCTGAAGTTGTAGATAAGCAAACTACTGCAGAAAGTGTCTTTGAGATCAAGACACACCGTTCGCCCACAGAGCAGCCTCCAAATCTGAAAGGTAGTAATACACAGTAGTTATAGTTTTCCCCTGTATTTTATGGAAATAATATATGGCAGGCAAACTTTAGCAGCTGGGAGATATACTTCTAAAAAAACTGAAGGTGCAGTGGGCAGAATGATACTGCAATGACACGGGGCCAAATTTTTCTACATATTTCCTTCTGTATTCCTGAAGACAGTGAAGTGTTACAATTAAATACAAGTTTAAACACTAATGTTTATTTTTCTATCATGAAATGGCAGGAAATAGCTTATTTATTTATTTGTTTGTTTGTTTGTTTGTGTTCTCTCCCGCCCATCTCCCCTACAATAGTGGGAGGTTTGTGGTGGTTTATGGTGGTTTGTCACTGAAATTCAGCTAACCCGTTTTTGGGGCCACTAAAATTTCAGGGACAGTAGGCAGGTTCCACCTCCTGCCAACTCCAAAACATATGCTTGGGTCATGATAAAAGATGACAAAAACAGCAGAAAATATACTTTCCAAATGTCAATTACTCTTTTCCATAAGCCATTTTACCAGAATAAAGGGCTTATATGAGTAGATTGTTCTTTTCTTTACAACTTTCACCTTATAAATTATATGTTAACTGAAGTCACATTTTCCAGGTATAGTTCCACTTCATCTACCCACGAAAGTTCTTCCTACACTCCAAAAACCACCAGCCCATAGCACAGGAAATGTGTAAAATGCACAAGGTCATAAAATGCTGTTAACAATTGTCAAAAGGAATCCTTCTAGCAAGGACACTGCTATTGTTGGAACAAGTATTACCTTACATCCCCATTTAAAGACACAAGTAAATGAAGGAGTGTCAGCACGCTTCAGCTACCCAGGCATTAAAGTGTGCTAAAGGTAGCTATAAATATTTTGCCCATGTTAACTTTTTTTCCTTGTGCCCATATCATCAGATATTCATTTCAGGCTAAACTCCATACTATATGTGGCTGAGCAGACCTATGCTTTTTTATTTGCCTCAATTACATTCACAGCAGGGAAAGGGAACACATCTCTGTCTGATTTAAAAACAAGAAGGATTTCTCCCCCATTTTCTGTATACATCAGTTTTCCTTCATCCAGACCCCAATACATTGTAAGTTAAGTCCAGCTGGGAAGAGAGCAAGAAAGTAAAAAAGAACTACTGTTGAGAGATAAACAACAACTGGCAGTAGAAGGACTCAAATCCCCCACCACTTGCCCCTTCACACCTTAAAAGGGACCCTTCCAACCACTTTCTCAATGCTTGGGACTTCTCTTTAAAGGGACAAGTTATCACTGTCACAAGTATTAATATAATTCTATTATCTCTATATAAATTTGGGGGTGCAGATCATATCCCCATGGATTCAGATGCGATATCCCACAGACTGAGTCCTGGGCTTGGAGGTGCTGTCTAGCATTATGTATGAAGCAAACCATCTAGCAGTATTACTACTGTCAACTCAAGTTCCCCTCACCTGAAATACACTTGGAAACAACTTGTTTTTCTCCACGGTTACCAGCATAAGCTTTGGACATAACTCATCACCTTTGAACAAAACTTTACCCGATTGTCATCATGAGGAGAGTTATGAGAGAACACACGCTAACTAATGGGTTAACGAAACTAACAAGCAAATAGAGACTTCCTCCTTCCCACACTGCAGCCACAACTAATTTCTCACATATCTATGTTTTACATGAATGTTGCTCTGCTATTGGTTGTGGTATGGAGTCTACATCATTCTATATTTAAAGTTCAAAAAATTCACACCACAGTTCACATTAAAAAAAATTAAAGAACATCAGTCCTATAAAGCTATTTTATACTTACCCCATATCACAATATTATAAATCAACTGCTGCTTACCTGAAATTCTTCTTTTACTGCTTGCAGATTGTATGTAAAGAACTTTTGATAATGCTGAAAGAGTAGAGCCAGCAGGAGTGAGAAGGTGCTTGGTATTATTAAAAGACCCTTTGACAGAGGTGCTTTATCTTCAAAAGAAAAAAAAAACCACACACATATGCAATAAAGTTATGGTGAGAATTCTCAAAACAGTTTAAAAAACAATCATGCTATGTGATGATTTTTTTAAAAAAAACTTTAAAATCAATTTGTTTTATGATTACAATGAAATGTATTAGACTACTAAAAGAACTTTCTAACTCATTTTACCAAAGTTTTGGCTCAAGTTGTGAAAACAAAACAAACTAGGGGTGTGCAGAAACCACCCAATTCACTTCAAATGCTCAAACTAAGCCAGAAAATGATGTGCCATTTTGGGTTTCTCTGAGGAAAGCCTGAATCCAGAGAATGGATTCTCCCAATCCAGTGACTGGGAGAAACAAAACTCCATTCTCCCATAGGAATGGCCTGGAAAAATACAAAATTCGCTTTCTTTTTCCTCTAATAGAACAGATTGAAAAACACAAGCAAGCTAGAGCTTTATAAGGAGGTGAAGCACGCTAACAAAAAATCTGATGTGCTTTTAAAATATGATTTAAAGGAAAAGAAATTGCTTGCAATATTGTTATTTTGAGATAGATGATACCAACACTCTTAGCATAAGAAACATTTTTTGTGCAAAATGCTAGTGCCAAACAGCACACAAGTGCACGGAGTAGAAACAGAAGAAACTTATTATCAGAGGGTGTTATACTATAAGAATGAACTTGCTGTTCTTTCTGTATGATAAATGAATTGTTAGGTGAAATCAAACTTAGCTCTGAAAATACACAGGATGAATTAATGGATGAGAATAAAGGACTACCACCATGGAGTGAATGGTATGACTATGTTTTTCCTTTCCTCCCAAATGTCCTCACCACCCATCTGAGATGCTGTAATTAGAATGAGGCAGATTATTTGCAAGGCCAGGGATCTGGCAGCAGTATCTCTATGGTCCTACCAAATATACCACTAGTCATTAAGGCAGGAATAAGCTACTTCTGGAGGTCAATGAGTGAGTTTGGGATTTTGAGAGTGTATTTTGGGAGCTCTCACAAAATAATTGCCAGGGAAGACTCACCTAGTCACAAAATCAGTGGGATAGTTCCCTGCTATGCTGTCAAGCAGCACTGGACGTTCCCCATCACTCTTCTAAGTTGTTTTCATTATTATTTTTCTTGGTAAGTGGCATTCCTTTGAACAATGCATTGGGTGTCAGCTACTATTTCCATTTGTTAAGAATGCCTAGAAGGCCCATATGTGGCTTGGAGGCATTTTTGAATATAATGAATATCCCCAGTTGCTGTTGTTTTTAAATTAAATGGGAAGAAAAAGTGGCTCATGGGATTTACATCTAATCACAGTCTTAGTATGGAAGGTGAGATAAAGCGATAGACATTCAAATTAATTTCTATCAAATGTGCAATATTTCCAGGTTAATTTTACAGCTTTATTTATGCACATCTTATGCTGTACTTGTTACAGCACTGTGGTTCTTATTTGGTGTTTTACTTCCTGATACTTTATTAAAATAATATTTGTTAACACTTTGTATACAGAAATATAGATTTATTAAATAATTTATCCTAAATTCTGCATACAATTTCGCATTCTGATTGTCAGATTCTAACCTCTTATGTATGCAACATTCCAGACTGCACTGTTTAAGTTACTAACTACAAGAATATTTAATGACTATATTAAAGACAGGCTTTAATCTGAAGCATAATTCACAAGAATTTGCTCCCAGAATGGCTCTGCATCATCTAAAATTCTCGATCTCTTTCATCTAGTTTTCTCTTTCTTACATCCACCTTTGTTCTGTTTTTCCCTCCCTATTTCTCTCATATATCATCTCTATCATCTCTCTTTCTGTTCTATCTTCATTTTCTTTCTGGGTACACAAGGCCAAAATACAAGGAAATATTTTATGATGAGTGTGTTCCTTCATATTTTTTCCTAACCAGCCATGCACACCAAGTAACCATTTTGGGGCTTTGCATCTTATATGTTTAGTTTTTGGCTACTTACAGCAGCCCTTTTGTGGGTATGCCCCCAGCATTTTTAAAGATTTAACTCAAATCCTAGGGAGAGCTAATCCTAAAGACTAACAAATTTAGCAAGGTTTTCCCAAAAGAGAGAAAACAATAGGTAACAATTCAATAATAGGAATCAGGGAATATAGATCATTAGAGCCATAGAAAACTGCCTTATAGCAAATCAGAACCTTAGTTTCTTAGTTCAGTGTTTTTCCCTGTTCTATCCAGAGATGTCAAAGGAGGACATCATTTTCCCAGGACTTTTAAAAAGCAAAGCATGTGCTCTACAAAAAGCTAATGTCCCTCTATAGAAACTCTATTATAAAATATTTTTACTTAAAAGAGTATCACTGGAGAATGAGCAAATTGTCCGAATCTACCCACTGAATAACTCAAGCTCAGCTCTCATACAGATGAGAGAAAGGGGCATAAATTCCAATGTTAGAGTAACACTATTCCATTGTATAAATTAAACAATGGAATTAAAGAGCAAATTGTCCTTTCCTTACAAAAACTCAAGTTCAGAAAAAGCATTTCGAAGTATGAATACAAGCAATTTTAAAAGGTTTAAGAAATGTTGCAATATATATTGTGATTTCCTAGAGTGGTATAAAACATTTACAGCCTGGTAGAAAAATACTGCCATTTAAATGATGTGTCTTAAAAATGCATCAATGTGTCTAATAAATGCAGTTATAAGAGGAAAAAATATTAAAATTATTTATGGCAATATGTTTTGACATTAAGAGTTCTTAACTCAAAACAAAAATATTCAATACTTCATACTGCAGTATTACAGGCAAACAGTCCCCCACAGCTATGGAGATTTTTTGGTCTTTGTCAGCAAAATAGACTTGACTTTATTAGTTACAGTGGGGCAAAAAAGTATTTAGTCAGCCACCAATTGTGCAAGTTCTCCCACTTAAAAAGATGAGAGAGGCCTGTAATTTTCATCATAGGTATACCTCAACTATGAGAGACAAAATGGGGGAAAAAATCAATGGGGGAAAAAATCCAGAAAATCACATTGTCTGATTTTTAAAGAATTTATTTGCAAATCATGGTGGAAAATAAGTATTTGGTCAATATAATGGGGGAAAAAATCCAGAAAATCACATTGTCTGATTTTTAAAGAATTTATTTGCAAATCATGGTGGAAAATAAGTATTTGGTCAATATAATGGGGGAAAAAATCCAGAAAATCACATTGTCTGATTTTTAAAGAATTTATTTGCAAATCATGGTGGAAAATAAGTATTTGGTCAATATAATGGGGGAAAAAATCCAGAAAATCACATTGTCTGATTTTTAAAGAATTTATTTGCAAATCATGGTGGAAAATAAGTATTTGGTCAATATAATGGGGGAAAAAATCCAGAAAATCACATTGTCTGATTTTTAAAGAATTTATTTGCAAATCATGGTGGAAAATAAGTATTTGGTCAATATAATGGGGGAAAAAATCCAGAAAATCACATTGTCTGATTTTTAAAGAATTTATTTGCAAATCATGGTGGAAAATAAGTATTTGGTCAATATAATGGGGGAAAAAATCCAGAAAATCACATTGTCTGATTTTTAAAGAATTTATTTGCAAATCATGGTGGAAAATAAGTATTTGGTCAATATAATGGGGGAAAAAATCCAGAAAATCACATTGTCTGATTTTTAAAGAATTTATTTGCAAATCATGGTGGAAAATAAGTATTTGGTCACCTAATTTTTTCCCCCATTTTGTCTCTCATAGTTGAGGTATACCTATGATGAAAATTACAGGCCTCTCTCATCTTTTTAAGTGGGAGAACTTGCACAATTGGTGGCTGACTAAATACTTTTTTGCCCCACTGTAAAGAGAGTCACTTACTTTCTACCCTGCTTACAATTTTCTTACCATTCATGAGCTTACACCTAGAATCTGCATGCCTTCCTGTTTTAGTAGGGAACCTTCAGAGTTACTGTACTTTTAAGGAGAAGGACAAATAACTGAAACTTCAAGTAGAAAGGTTCAACTAGCAGTACAATCTCTATTTTGCTTTTACAGGTAGCCTTCGGATTATGACCCTAATTGGGACCAGAATTTCTGTTGCAAAGTGAAGCAATCGTTAAGCAAAACATGTGATTGTGCTGCTTAGCGAAGGCAGACCCAGTTGTCCAGATTGCAGTTGTTAGGTGAGGCCCACACGGTTGTTAGACTAGGACCTTACGCTTCTCCTGCCCTGCGTGAACTGCCTTTGCTTTAACTCCCCACACCCACCTATCCCGCCCCAGTCTCTGCCCCTTTTGGTTGCCCTGCACTCCGCTGCCTACCCTTGCTGTCCCCAGCTGACCTTCACTGTCTTCTTCCTCCCACTGCTGGCCTGGGATCCAAGCACTGGGTGAGTGCAGCAAAGCCTCGTCTGCTGAAGGGAGCTTGCCAGGCACAGCCAGGGAGGAGGCAGTGGGACGGAGCTGGTGGAGGAGGCAGGGTGGTAGTGCAGGAGGAGGTGTCCTATCTTCCCTTGTCGACGCGAGGAGTGATAGCCCACAGACTGTGGAGAGTGCAGTGGCGGCTCCCGGGTAAAGGTGGCAACTGTGCGGGAGGCGCTGTTCAGGGTGGTTGCAGAACGTCCAACATGCTGAAACCCACAGACCGGTTCTCCAGAAGCACTTCCAGCGTGGGCTCTGCAGCTCATGTTGGAAGCTGTGCCCTCACCCAACACTTGGCCAACAGCAGGAGGAAAAACACAGCAAAGGTCAGCTGGGGGTGATGGAGGTGGGCAGAGATAGGCGGGTGGGGAGAGTTGAAGCAGAGGCAGTTTGCACAAGACAGGAGAACATGACTGTGGGATGCTGGAACTGGTCATAAATGTGGCCTGGTTGCCAAGCACCCAAATTTTGATCACATAACCGTGGGGGTGCTGCAACAGTTGGAACTTCGAGGACAGGTCATAACTATCATTTGTTCAGCACCGTCATAACTTCGAACAGTCACTGAATGAATGGTTGTAACCCAAGGATTACCTCTACTTTTCATTTAGGAAGTCAGAGGTCTGGTACAGTCACCCAACATACGAAACTAATTTTTTGTCATACCTACTGGAATACAAAAAGTATATTCCAGACCACAGATATAACTACAGAGAAAACAGTTCTCTCTATAACTGTTTTCTGTTACAGAAAATTGTATTAAGATCTCCCATGGTTAACCTGATTTATAACAGTGGTACATCAATTACCCCAGTTCCAAACTGTTAGATCCTTATATGTCATAAGCTAAGGCCTTGAACCTTGTTCAATAGCTAACTGGCAGTCAGGATAGTTCTTTAACAGAAGTGTAACATATGCAACCTAGACATCCTAGTTAGCAACGTCACTAGTACATTCTACATCAGCTGCAGCTTCAAGTCCAACCATGAAGGCAGGCCTGTAGAGACTACATTACAGTAAACCAAGCATGTATAATAGTAGCCAGGGTGCCTTGTCCAGGAAAGGGCATCATTGGTATACCAATGGAAGCAGATATTAGGAGCTCCTGACCACATAAGTCACTTGGACCTTCAAAGAGCACCCCCAAAATATACAACTGTTCTGAGGGAATGCAACACTACTGAGAACAGACAAAATTTCTTAATTCTTGTACCCAAGATCCACCCAATCACAAGATCTCCATCTTGTCTGGATTTATTCTCAGTTTATTGAGTTTTGTCTGCTCCTTTATTACACAGTCCCCAAATGGTGATTTTTTACTAGATAGTAGGATATATGTGCCAGAATCACACTAAGGACATTTGATCAGGTTAAGAGCTGACTGGGTAACCATATTGGAAAAACAAGGCCACTGTCTGACCACACTTGCTGAGTTCACACTAAATACTGATTCTCAAACTAGCAATCAATACATTACCTGGAGAGCCATCGCAATATTGGGATTAACTTTAATTTGCTCTACCATAAAGCTGATGGGTGCATTAGCCATGTATCATGTGAACAATGTCATACACATAGGTATACACAGTATAATTTTTAATTCTATTACTCTCAGGATCCAATGTCTAGTTCAATAGACATTTACAAGCATAGATATAAAATATTTTGTGAAGTGCAAAAGGTTTACATCAGGGTTCCGCAAAGGAGTCAGTATCAACCCCCAAGGGTCAGTGGGACTATCCATTATTGTTGTTATTATTCATAGTACTATTAATTAAAGTAGTATTTATTAAATTATTTTCATGTAATAAATGTTTGGGGGTCGATGAGCAATCTGAAACTTCATGAAGGGTATGATGAGCTGAAGAGTTTGGGGACCCCTGTTTTATGTTAAGTCTTATCCCTGTTTAATCATGGATTATGAGATGAACTATTGTTAGCAAAGTTTTCACAATATGCTAAAACAGAAATTATCATTTATATACCGCAAGAGTTGGGTCATACCAACACAGTAAATCAAAACCAAATAAATTACAAGACACTGTAGTGTGTTGTTGGAAACAGCTCTGTCTTATCTGGAAGCTTTATCATTTTATCATGCTAATTGATTACCACACTTGCCAAAGCAAAGAAATGTTAGCATAACTGAAAGAGAAGTGCTAGAGCAAACTGAAGATAGCTATCCAATGAATGACTTGGCTCAGAGAAAACCAGTTCTAAAGCAGCAGTCCTAAACAGATGCTAATGAGTAAGCTCTACCTGAAAACAATGCGTGAACCAAGTCATTCTGGTTTGGCCCTTGTACAGACTTAGTGCAATATGTGAACTAAGCTCCTGCATGTTTTTCAACAAATCAGGATTAAAGCAAGCTCTGCTCATGGATAGGAACATAATCCATGGTAAATCAGGATCCTCATAAAATGTTATCTGCATCAGCAATCATTTTCTACAAAAGCACATTAGCATCATGTACTAAGATTTATTTCAAATCTTCATGAATGCTTTTTGAATCTGGTCTGATTAAGATCACTGTAAATACAATATAGCAAGCACTGGAGTCATGTAGAACTCACTAACCCTTCATGCAGAAACATGAAAACATTCTTTTTATTAAACACATTGCTATCTGAACACTGTGGTTTATTTTAGCTCAAGATAATTATCAAAAAGGAAATATCATCTGACCATGGCTAAGTTCAACTAATTACAATGTTGTATGAGTACCACTGTTCCTTTTGTACAGAGCACTCAGCCACTGTTTTTAAATTATAATGCCTTGCATTGTTAGCCACTCTGCATTTCTGCCTTGTTTACCTGGAGAACTAACAGACCAATGGACAACCAGCTCAGAAGTTACTAGGTTTCTGGGTTCTGCAACATAGTTTAATTGGGGAAATGTGTTCTGGGGTTTGAACAGTTTCTCTCCTGAACTGGCAGGTATCTGTGTTTGTTCAACATGTTGGCCTAGAAATGGTCCAGTAAAGGGCATTGCGCAACTGCATTCAATGAGTCATGGAAATGTAGTCACAGACTTGATTCGCATATCATGCTAAATTTTGATGGTTAGTCTGGTTTTGGCTTAGTATGTTTTGTGAACCCTGTCACTGTGGTTTCTAAACCATGGTGTATGATTTAATGCATTTATGCAAACTTAGCAACTTACAGTGGTTAAAACTGTAACTAGACAATTTAATTAGGCTGCACTGTTAAACTTTATTTTAATGCCTGCTGGCTCAGTCCTATGCATGATTGTTCAGAATACATTTTTCCAATAGGATTTATATCCGAGGGGGGAAAAAAAAGACAGAAGTAGTGATGGTAAGCAAAAAGTTGGACTTTGGGATTGATGGGATACTTACTCTGGATGGGTTTTTACTCTCCAAGCAGAAGCAGTTTGCAGTTTGAATGTGCTCCCTGATCCCAGCTGTAACTGGACCTTCAAGTAGCAGCTGTGGCAAGAAGCGTGTTTACACAACTATGACCAGAGTGTCAACTGCAATCTTTCCTGAGCCAGCCAGATTTAGCAAGTTATCCAGCCCTTGTTACAAACCAACTTGACTACAGTAATGCACGCGGGGCTACCCTTGAAATGGATCCAGAAAGTCCAACTGTTGCAAAACGCAACAACTAGGTTGCTGACTGATACAAGATACAGGAAGCATATGATTCCTGTACTGAAAGATCTGTACTAGCAGTCAACTGGCTACTGGCTACAATCAAAGGTATCCCTATACTGCTGTTATAAAGCCCAACTATGCAGGTTAGGGCTTGCCTATCTGTGGTTAGTAGGACTATCTCTCCTACTAAAAACTTACCTGGTTATTAGAGTGAAGATACCCCTGATACTGGAAATTCAACTATTGGTATGCAAGGACAGGTATGGCTCCAAAGCTGTGGAATGCACTCCGTAGGTGTTTCTCAATCTTAGCAACTCTAAGAGGCGGGAAAGGTAACTCCCCCAATTCTTCAGCCAGCAAGCTGGCTGGGGAATTCTGGGAGTTCAAATCCACACCTCTTAAAGTTGCTAAGGTTGGGAAACACTGTCTTCGGGTGATGTGCTTGACCCTCACAATTAGTTGATAAAACCACATCTCTTCCACCAAGTGTTTGTTACTTTATTTAGATGCTTGATTTTTATCTACTGTTTTTTATCGATTTTAGTTCTAGTAAGTGCTCTGTTTGCATTTTGCACTTTTTCCTGTTGTAAGCCACCTGGACTGTCACAAGAGAGGAAAGATGGAGTATCAATCCAATTATAAACCAAAAGATAAGGAGCTGCTGCCGCACTTGCAAGGTTCCCCTTTGGCAAGACACCAAGCAAAATCCTCACTAAAAGCGTAAAGCTGCACCGACTGGCTAAAAAGAGAGACCTGCTCTACCCCAATTCGGATTAACTAACCGACCAGCAAGAGCTCCTCGAAACAGGCGAGGGAACTTACAGGCGGTGCTTCTCCACGCCCGGTGGCGCAACCCATGAGGCTGACGCGCAGCGGAGCGCCCCCGGGTCCGCAGCCGGCTCGCGGGTGGCTCTCTGAGCTGCGCTCTGCTCAGAGGACCCAAGGTTGGCGGGCTCCCGCGAGAACCCGCGCGGACTGGCTTCCCGAAGCAGGCTGAAGCCGGGGCGACCCCAGCCCTTGGGTTCCCTGAGCCGACGGCGGAGCCTCGGACTTTGAACCGGCGCTCGGGCTGTGAGAGGGCTCCGGGCCGGAG